ACGATAACGGACAATAGAACGTTTGTTGCTCGTATTTGTCGCGGATTTACATCGTACACGGCGGAAGTTCATCCGTTCTAAAAGTTTTGTGCAGTTCAAAACTTTTTGCGCGGATGAAATCACAGTGGACGGATGCTCGATGGATAGAGCGTATGAAACACGTGTGCAATGAGTACACAACGGATGCATAGCGTTTTCCAACGGACTGCAAGATTTTTTTTTACGTTTTACATCCTCTTTGCATCCGTAAGTGCAGTGGGACCGGGCCTTTAGGTTCTGCTTGTGTCCAACGGCACTCCAACGGCAAGTCCAAATCTAGTATTGTATTCGCACGCGTCATTTTCATTCTATAAATAAACTGATATGCTGATAAAAATGAGTGAAAGAAAAGACTGCTCACTAAAAGACAAACGCGAGTCGGTATAAATATAATCTTGATGTAATTATAAGATTGTTCTCTCCTAGTAACTTGCCTGATGGGTCGTTTTTGGAGCGCCCTCTGCGGCATCTCGTCGTACATTTTAAACTTCTGTCCTCTGACTTCACGATCGGTCAGCTCAACCGTAGTCCTTCTACAAACCGGTGACTCCGGTGACTTGCAGACCGCATTTTTCCTTTCCTTTTCTCCTTTCTTTTTATTCTGGCCATTTCTCTTTACCGGGACACCATTCTTTAGTAGTTTCGCGAAGGTACCCCCTTTGTTGTCAGAGCATCGCAAGATCGCAAAATTACTCACGATGGGGGTATTTTCTTTCTTGCAATGTATGGATGCGATGGACGGGTGGAGAAGCGAGCGTGGAGAAGGGACGGTGATGGATGAAGTGGTGCTCGCAGAATATACTCTACACGGCTCCTTTTTCTTTTTCTTGGAGGTCGAATTAAATCTTCCTGCGATGGCCTTCGATGGCATCGGGGTAGACGCGTCATCACTTTGAGTTGTGTGTTCATCGGACTCCAGGGTAGGTGGATATAGTTTGGTGGTAAGTACGAGTTCGTTATCAGTGTCACGTGTTCTCGGTGTGCTGTACGGCGTAGCCGCAGGTCGCCCACCCGACGACCTTTGACCGTCTTGTAAGAACTCCCGGTGCGCCACACAAAGTCGAACCTCCTTCATCTTGTCTTTACCCGACTCGGCTGTTTTCACGCAATCGACTGTCTTCGAAGCCGCACCCTCGGTAGTTATCGGTGTCCCCACCAAGTGGTATCCATGGTAATTGTGATGTTTCCCCGAAAAATTCTTAGACATGTCCCCAACGTTCACGTCCTGTGCTCTGTCATTAGTCCCGTCGTCTGTGCAGGGAATTTGCTTCTCTTTCAGCGCGCGTTTTTGCTCTTTCTGCAAGCCGTTATTTTTCTCCAGCGTCGATCCACAGAACGATACGCGCACGTTGGTAATCGGTTTAAACGTTTTCTGCTTCATACACCCACCGCGTGGTTTGGGCCCACTTCTCACACGGCCTTTTGAATGTAAATTTGCCCAAGGTACACTGGGTGACTTGCTGTCATCCAAGTCCGCATTGCTTGTCGGCAGGCTCTCGAAGGAAGGGACGGGTACAAGGATATGGTCGGTTGATGCGTCTAGAAGGTCTGCGTGCGCGTAAACGTATTCTTGGTGGGTGTCGACAGGCCTGTTCCCGGGGTGCTCATACGGTAGGACGTCTGGGCCTTGACACGGTTTGCCGTCGTTGCGTTCCCCAGTGGACGACTTTTCTGTTTGAATAAACAGACACAAAACACATTTGATTAGACAATTACACAAATGTCACGTAATGTAACCATGTATGCGATTTTACATTACAAATTGAAGAGCGCTTCTGTAAAGAAAAATCGAAGAAAAATAATGAAAACAGAACGTTGAAATCTGTGGGTGAATAAAGAAAAATTAGATTGAAGTAGATAAAGGAAACAAACATTAAAAACAAACTGTCTCATTTATCGACCTGGAACAATATACTGAAAAAAGAAAGCACCCCACCCCCCCCCCCCCCCCGACAAAAAACATGATTCCTTACCTTTGCACATGGCGGTGGTAGGCCAGTTCTTTGTGCCCAAGAAGTCTGCTCCTCTTCGACAACGTCCAGTTCAAAGTCGATTATCTTCTTGTTTTTCCTAAAGATATAATGAATAAGAATAAGATCAAGACTTTCAAGGGAAATTTTACTTCAATATCCGCAATACATGAGAAAATCATAAAAGTGGGTTTCTGACATCAACAAAAATCCTAGTATGAACTTCATAATTTTGCACAATATTCGTCTGAAAAGAACCCGGCATCGCTCATTGAAATTGTAAGATACGGTCGCACGTTACACGACCCAAATACAACCCACATGCAAGAAGGTCTTTACCATTAGATCGGAAAAACCAGACACTGAGAAGTGTCTCCTTCTTATCGAAACTACTTATAAAGTTGAGAAAAGGCCAAATCGGATATTTTGTTGATTTCAGTTGATTCCTAGATTAACTATATTTTTGGACATACCTATCGGGAGACTTCATGCTCGGTTGCACCATGGTGACAACTGTGGGTGTACGGACGCCGTCCGATGAATCTATATGGACAGAAAATACAGGAAGAACATAAAGAGGTAGGATTATAAAACACATTTTTAATCGAAGATGAAGTTATGCCCCAAAATTGTATTTCGGGGACCCGTTTCATAAAGCCTTTTTTTCAATGAAAAATGACAAAAATCAGTGACAGATCTGCTGATAACCAATCAGAAGCAAGGATTTAATTAGCTTGTGACAAAAACTGTAATTTGTCACTGATGCCAATTTTTGTGAAATGATATATAGATATGGATACTCTAATTGGGAGATTATACCTGCCTTACAATGTATGGGTGATATCATAATGACTTTGGAAGTAGAAGTGGGGTGACGAAAATAACATTGGGATTAATAATAAGGGTGACGAAAATGACTTTGGAGGAAATAATGATAGTGACGTTGGAGACTTTGGAGGTACTATGACAAACGGCGAAGATGACTTTAGAGCTAATAGTGGGGGCGAAAAAATATACGGAGGTGACGAAAATCAATTTAGAGGTACTAGTTGGGTGACTAAAATGATTCTGGAGGTAACAATGGTAGTGACGAAGAAGACGCTGGAGGTGATGGTGGGGGTGACGAAAATGACTTTGGAGGTAATAGTAGGGGTGACGAAGATGACTTTGGAGGTAATATATAGTAGGGGTGACGAAGATGACTTTGGAGGTAATAGTAGGGGTGACGAAGATAACTTTGGAGGTAATAGTAGGGGTGACGAAGATGACTTTGGAGGTAATATATAGTAGGGGTGACGAAGATGACTTTGGAGGTAATAGTAGGGGTGACGAAGATGACTGTGGAGGTAATAGTAGGGGTGACAGAGATGACTTTGGAGGTAATAGTAGGGGTGACGAAGATGACTTTGGAGGTGATACTAGGGGTGACGAAGATGACTTTGGAGTTAAAAGTAAGGGTGACAAAGATGACTTTGGAGGTAATAGTAGGGATGACGAAGATGACTTTGGAGGTAATAGTAGGGATGACGAAGATGACTTTGGAGGTGATAGTAGGGGTGACGAAGATGACTTTGGAGGTAATAGTAGGGGTGACAAAGATGACTTTGGAGGTAATAGTAGGGTTAACGAAGATGACTTTGGAGGTAATAGTAGGGGTGACGAAGATGACTTTGGAGGTAATAGTAGGGATGACGAAGATGACTTTGGAGGTGATAGTAGGGATGACGAAGATGACTTTGGAGGTAATAGTAGGGATGACGAAGATGACTTTGGAGGTGATAGTAGGGGTGACGAAGATGACTTTGGAGGTAATAGTAGGGATGACGAAGATGACTTTGGAGGTAATAGTAGGGGTGACGAAGATGACTTTGGAGGTGATAGTAGGGGTGACGAAGATGACTTTGGAGGTAATAGTAGGGATGACGAAGATGACTTTGGAGGTGATAGTAGGGGTGACGAAGATGACTTTGGAGGTAATAGTAGGGGTGACAAAGATGACTTTGGAGGTAATAGTAGGGTTAACGAAGATGACTTTGGAGGTGATAGTAGGGATGACGAAGATGACTTTGGAGGTAATAGTAGGGGTGACGAAGATGACTTTGAAGGTAATAGTAGCGACGGTGGTGGCAAATTTGGTGGTAGTACATAGATAGAATGAAAAGATTACAATGACGGACTGACTGAACTAGCAAACATTTCAGAAACTATTCATCTCTCATTACCTGCGTAAGCGCTACCAGGCCTAGCACTGGAGGATCGACTTCCCGCTCGTGAACCCGTTCTCGACCGGGCGCTGTCCGCCGGCGTTGGCGTTTGGGGTGTCGGGGGTCTGGTGTGTTCGCCGGTCCACACGCCTCGCTTGATCAAGCGCTCCTCCATGAGGATGTTGAAGATAGCGCTGACGTCGTCGAGCTTGTTCTCGAGGACGACGTCCTGGATCTTATCCGGTTTGACCTTGAGGCGTAAAGCCATATCCTCTATAACCTATCCAGGAATAGCAAAATATTAATTTTAAGTTTTGTGTAGAAAGGTTAGACTAAAATCGTAGTCATACTTAGGTTCTTTGTTCCACTGCATATACTCCTCACTTAGCCTCTGGACAAAACACATAACCATAACTCGAAACCTAAATTAAAACCCAATCACAACGCCATCCCTGACATAAATTTGCCTAAATCGGCCCGGGGCTAACGTCAGGTCTCCCATAGTTCATAAAAACTGCAGTCAGACAGGCGTTCGGGGCGGGTTTGGGGGGGGGGGGGGCTTGGTTTGGGAGGGGGAGGGGTGCGGCTCCTGATAATTTTGAAAAATTGGTTAACTGCCACAGGTTCACCTAATAATCTGGCAGTGAGGTTTATTCATATGGTTGATACCTTAGTGACAAATTAATACTTCACTAGTGTGTCAACGTTTTCGCTACATATTTCAGCTAGAGACACCAATCGTCCAGACGAAGCTGGGCCCGCAAGCTCGTGCGCGGGAAGGCATGAAGTTACATCTTTGTTCCTACCTCTGCTCTAAGGTCCAGGTCCTGAGGCGGGGTCTGGAACGGACAGAACGGTTCCTGGCCCTCACACGTGATCCAGGCATGACGCTCGATATCTAATAGTGGCAGTCTATCCTCAGGTGTAGGTTCGATGCATCCGTGTAACATGTCTTTGCAGTCTGGGGTTGTACATGTAAAAAAAAAAGAGAACGGAAAACTTGATACGTCTAACAAAAAGAGCACATTTTCAAACAATGACCACATGACAGGGGCCCTAAAAACAGAGTAGGGCATTACGGGTTAATCTTCAAATATTCTTTCGACAAAGACGAAGGCGCTACAACCTTCCGAATGTCTATGAACAATGACGTCAGAAAAGTTAAGTCGAGTCACACCGTTAAAGGTATTACAAAGTTTTGGTATGAGGTCATGAATTTAGATTAAATTAACATATTGGAAGCATATGCGTTCCTACAGTATTCATTGATCGTTGTCGCGGTTGAAATCGAGTCTAAAGTTATGAAATTATAAATAATAAACTCTTTATGTCGTATAGCTCCCTCTCAAGGTCAAGATATTAATTTAGCTACGAAACAATGTTTAATGACTAAAATCGACCTATTACCTATTCCCGTTTGGAAATTATATATCACAATTACATATTCTGAGATTAAAATGGTCGCAGTTACCATTGTACGGCCATATAGGCGTCATTTGAAATTTATCTAAATTTACCGGGAGCACCGGTAAATTTGTATATTCAATTTTTCTCGAAAACAGAAGTGTTTTAGGGGCTAATATTTTTAGTGCTTATAATACATCCACAGGGGCATCCAAATATATCAAAATTGTAAATATTCACTATCCACCTAATTTTCAAATTTACCAAAACTTTGTATTACCTTTAACGAAGCCTGTAACTGAACTGAATTATTTGGAAATTTGAAGATTTTTTTGTTGTTGAAATCAAAAGTTTAACTCTCGGGAACCACATTTTAATTAGCCATTTCGGCCATATCATGATCTCCCGTTTCCCTGTACTTTTGTTGTGATTATGTTTTATAGGTTGTTTCAGAAAAGGTTATAAATCAATTAATTATGTTATTCCTTCCTTCATTCCCTCATTCATTCATTCTGACTTACTTACCATCAGTTAGATGGGCCATCTCTTTATCATGGACTCCTTTCAACCCTTTCTTGATCTGAAGAAGAAGGTGCTGCCGTCTGTTCTCAGAATGGGGCGTGGTGAAGGGGAGCTTGCCCGTTACCATGGCAAACATAATCACACCTCTGAAATGTAAAGATACAAGAGACACAAAAAATGTCACATATCATCATTCAAATGAGGAGAATTCTGAATATATCGATGGTTTGTGATGATTTTTTTTATTTTTTATTTTAGTCGCCGTGTTACAGCATCTATTTATGCAGCCCTAAATTCAATTCGTCTGGTTTCTTTCGGTACCGTTGATGAGGGGCAACTATAACGAACATAAAAAACCGCCACTACATTTTGGGGGGATTATCTTCATAAGATGATGAAGTAATAAATATTTGGCTGCAGCCAAAGCCCCTTGCCTTATACGCCCATTTATATTTTACTATTGTAAAGGATGTACGATGGCTCAGTGGTAGAGCAGTGGTCTCGTAACCGCGAGGTCCTGGCCTCGAAGTCAAATCAATGCGCTCATGTTCTTTGGTAATGCATTAATCCTTATTACCAAGTCCCTCAGATATGATTGAAAGCCGTCGGTCTCCTGGTTGCTTAAATACAAGCACATACATGCTTTCTTAGCAGTCAGGTAAAACAAATAATCAACCATCAACCCTCGAAATTGTGCACGACATTTGGAGTGAATGTTATCAACGATATTCCTTCATTAAAAAAAGAAGTTACTTACAAACTCCATATATCGACCTCAGGTCCATAATCTCGACCGGCCACATAGAGCTCAGGGGCCGCGTACTCGGGCGATCCGCAGTGGGTCTTGAAGAGCTCTTCAGGTCCACATTGGTTACTCAGACCAAAATCTAAACGAAAAGCGACATAATTTTTGACAGTATGCACATCAGAGAGGGAGAGAGAGAGAGAGAGATAGGTTTCTAAACGAGAGATATTGGCTAAACTGTTAACACGAGATGGCTCAGTGGTAGAGCAATGGTCTCGAAGCCAAGTCGATGCGCTAGTGCCCTTTGGTAAGGCATTAATCGTCATTACCAAGTCCCTCAGCGAGGACTCACAGCTGTCGGTCTCCTGACAAATATACACATGCTTTCTCAGCAGTCAGGTAAAACAAACCATTAAACCATCAAATATCGAATGCAAGAAATCAAACAAACACGTTATTATGATAATTATGTTTTTTTGTGAATTCCTTTGGAAGATTCATCATATAGGGGGGGGGGGGGGTTAAAGAAAACTTCTTCTCGCTGTCTTGGATTCAAAGAAAGACGGCATTACTGATCATTATTTATTCCAAAACAAATCTCGAATATTACGATATC